TAGCTCAGTGGTAGAGTATCTGCAGAGTGTTAGAGGCCCTGAGTTTGATATGCAGCACCAAAAAAAAAAAAAAAGTTATGTCTTTGAGTGAAGTCATATCAAGGTATTTATTTTGCCAGTGCTATAAATGAGCAAAGCATATTTTGCTATAGGTCTGTTATTTTAAAATTTTGAATATAAAATGCAATTTCAGAATTAGCAGTTAGTTGTCTTGAATTTTTTCCTTTGTCATCAACAAACTTTTGTTTTATTATGACTACATTGTTTTACTACCATTTAAATATTATTCCTGATGGYAATGAAAAGAACCAGTACCAAACAGAAATTTACTTTTACCTCATAAATGCCTTTTTTTCCTGTTTCTTGCTAGTGCCGAAAACATTTGAAGAGTCGGAGGTTAGTCAGTGCAAAACAGCTTGGTGTGGATAGAATTGTAGATTTTCAATTTGGAAGTGATGAAGCTGCTTATCATTTAATCATTGAACTCTATGATAGGGTAAGTAAAATTTGAGGGATGGGGTAAAGAAATAGAATCTATATTCATTTTGGGATCTGCCTTTTATTCAATATTTAAGGTATTCATTATGTTCTACACAATGTTATTTTCAGTGATATGTTGAGTTTTGTTAGCTCCATATCTTTGCTAATACTTGGCATTCTCTTTCTCTTAATTCAACAAAACTCTTTAAATGAGCATTTTATGATGGTTATATGATGAAAAAATTAAATTATCCTTCAAAAAAATACCTATTATATAATCATCATAAATGCCCATAATAATTATATGTAAACATTTTTTCCATAGTATGATTTGTGTAGTCATTAGTAGTGGTGGCAGTAGTAGTAGTACTAGTAGTAGTAGTAGTACTAATAATAGTAATCTAAGGTAGGTTGATTAATTGATTGATTGATTTTGTAGTTGTAGATGGACAGAATGCCTTTATTTTGTTTATTTTTATGTGGTGCTAAGGATTAAACCCAGTGCCTCACACATGCTAGGCAAGTGCTCTACCACTGCCCTAAAAGAATCTATTTATTTAAATAATTTTACTTATAGAAAAGTTGTAAACACAAAAAGTTCCTGTAACCTTTCACCTAGCTTCTGTGAATGTTAATATCTTATAGAGTATTTGTCACAACTAAGAAATTAACATTGGTACATAATATTGTTTCTTCATTCTCATAGTTTTTCTGTTCCAGGATATCCAGTTGTATTTAGGGCCTTTCCATTTGAAGGCTCTGAGCAGTAGGATGCATACTGTCTGGGTTGCAAAGGTCCAATTAGTGATGATTTTGGAATAGATATTAAGGGTTTATATATGAGAGAATGTGCTTGGGATTTTTCCATRGTCATTGTGGTATCTGTGAGAGGTATGTTGGTTGATGCTTAAGAATTGATCCTGAGAGCTGGGGTTGTAGCTCAGTGGTAGAGYGCTTTCTTGTTACGTGTGAAGCACTTGGTTTAATCCTCAGCACCAAGTAAAATAAATAAAAGTATTGTATCCATCTACAACTTAAAAAAAAGAAAAAAAGGAATAGCATTTAGCATTTGATCTTTGAGATTGTGTGCCTGGAATTTTTCTTTTCTTTTTTTTTTTTTTGGTACCAAGGATGGAATCCAGGGACACTTAGCTATTGAGCTACATTCCCATGCCTTTTTATTTTCTATTTACTTATTTATTTATTTTTACCTTTTGCTTGCAGGAATCAGGGATGGCTCTCTAGCTTAAGGGTCTGTTAGAAAGAGAGAGAGCACKCCTGAAACCATCCTATTTATTGAGGGGAAGACACTTGAGAAAGTTCCACCCAAATGAGKCAAGGGATTGGGTTTCAGGGTGGTGAGGCTCACTCCCAGAGCTGTATAATTCCTTGCCAAGTGAAGATGAGGTCCATCTGCTTTTGCGCTGTGAGCAGAAGCCAGTTCTACACCTCCATCGCTCAAGGCTAAGAGTTGTGCTCAGCTCCTGTTCATGGAGGCCCCCGACACACAGTTAAAGGACTGAGGATGTAGTGTGGTGAGGGACATCATAGCCATCCCTTTTTATTTTGAAACAAGGTCTTCTTAAATTGTTTAGGGCCTTGCTAAATTGCTGAAGCCGGCCTTGAACTTGTAGTCCTCCTGCCTCAACCTCATGAGTTGCTGGAATTAGAGGTGTGTGCCACCATGCCTGGCATGCCTGAAGTTTTGATATGTGGTRCTTCTAGAGTTGGTCAGACTTTGAGGAAAGCTTATTGCTACTCACATATTTAAGAWAGTAGATTTAGGCCAGATGCAGTGGCACATGCCTTTAATCCCAGCAATTTGGGAGGCTGAAGCAGAAAGATTGCCAAGTTTAAAGCTAGCCTCAGCAACTTAGTGACAGCCTGTCTCAAAATAAAAAATAAAAAGGGCTAGAGGTGGCTCAGTGGTTAAGCACCCCTGGTTCAATTCACAGTACCAAAAAAAAAAAAAAAAAGTAGGTTTATTAAGTTAGCAATAGGAAAGACTCTGGGAAACATAAGATTAGAAAGTGGCTTATTAAGTATAATCACAATCAAGCGCAGTATTTCCCAAACTATGTTCCTTGGATACTATGTTCCTGTAAGATAATAGGTGTGTCTAGAAAAATGGGTTCAATAGGCATGAAAGTTTGAGGAACCCTGAGATAAAGTAAGATTAAATTTTTTTCACTTTAGTACTTATTAGTCCTTTTAATATGATAATGCGATGGGTACATTTCTTACAGAAGGAAGTGTTAAGTAGAATTTCCCAAACTTACTTGATCACAGAATTGTTTTTAATAGAAGGTAAGGAAACCCATGTTATGAAGTACTTTTAGGAAACTTTGCATTAAGGAAAACCCTTTCAGGGACATAATCTTCCTTATTGGAATCCTTTAGATGTTCCTGATAACTATATAATTTGATCAAAGAAATCAAATTTTGAATACTTTTTATGTTGCAGGCTCTATGACCTTTTATTCTTCATATCATATCTTAACCAGACACTATCAGAACTTCTTTATAAGCCCTTTACTTTCTTTTTCCAGTTAACTTTTTTTTTTTTTTGGGGGGGCGGGTATCAGGGGCACTGGACCACTAAGTCTCATTCCCAGCCCTATTTTGTATTTCATTTAGAGATAGGGTATCACTTAGTTCTTAGTGCCTCGCTTTTGCTGAGGCTTGGGAGCCGCTGGGATTACAGGCCAGTGCCCACCGTGCCCAGATGATAGGTTTTTTTTTTTTTTTTTAAAGAGAGAGTGAGAGAGGAGAGAGAGAGAGAGAATTTTTAATATTTATTTTTTAGTTCTCGGTGGACACAACA